CTGAAAGTGAAGAGGACCTCAAGAGCCTCTTGCTCAGGGTAAAAGAGGAGAGCGCAAAAGTGGGCTTGAAGCTCAACATCAAAAAAACTAAGATCATGGCATCCGGCCCCATCACTCCTTGGCAAATAGAAGGGGAAGTCGTGGAAGTAGTGACAGACTTCACGTTCCTGGGATCCCAGATCACCGCAGACTGTGACTGCAGCCATGAAATTAAAAGACGCCTGCTCCTTGGGAGGAAAGCGATGGCGAACCTAAACAGCATGATAAAAAGTAGAGACATCACCCTGCCAACAAAAGTCCGCATGGTCAAAGCAATGGTATTCCCAGTAGTCATGTATGGCTGTGAGAGTTGGACTATAAGGAAGGCCGAGCGCCGAAGAATAGATTCTTTTGAACTATGGTGCTGGAGAAGACTCTTGAGAGTCCCTTGGACTGCAAGAAGAACAAATCAGTCAATCCTCAAAGAAATCAACCCTGACTGTTCCCTGGAAGGCCAGATAATGAAACTGAAGCTCAAATACTTTGGCCACCAAATGAGAAGGGAGCACTCACTGGAGAAGACCCTGATGCTGGGAAAGATTGAAGGTCAAAGAAGACGGGGACGGCAAAGGATGAGATGGTTAGACAGTGTCATCGATGCAACGAACATGAAATTGAGCCAACTTCAGAGGACGGCGGAAGACAGGAGGGCCTGGCGGGAGATGATCCATGGGGTCGCGAAGTGTCGGACTCGACTGTGCGACTGAACAACAACAATGTCTGTCAAGCAACAAATATACAATTTAAATATTTTGAAATACTTGGAACTGAGATAACCACCTTACTCACACCCATGGAGTAAGAGGTGATAAATATTCTTGAGATGTAACATGGACAACTCATCAAGATGTGCAATATTTCATATGCCCATGAATCTAAAATATACATAAAGCATATGGCTAAACAACTGCAAATTAAAAAGTCTTCTAAATTTTTGAAAAAAGGTATGTAGTTAATTGAGGGAGGGGACTAAATGGTGCAATATTTATCTAATTAGGCCCAATCTGTAATGCTCAAAGCTCCAATGGAGTGCTCAGGTACAAACAGAAAAGAATCAGCACTATGGTAGTCCAACTCCCTGAATATATGGAAAAGGTGGGTGTGACGTCCTCCTTATTGGAGAGGACTATTTTCATTTTAAAAGTGTTCTTTATTTTGTTTTACTGGGTATATACAGCTGCCACCAGGAAATTTTAAGGATTTCCAAACCTTTATGCTTTTACTATTGCTCTTTTTTTATTTGGTAGACCGAGTTCAAGGCTTACAGGGATCTATGTGGTCCTGGGAAGTATTTCATTCAAAGCTGGTATAAACTTGGATGAAATAGGATTTATTGAAATAACTACTAAATAAGAGGGTTGTACAATGTAACTAGTAATGTATAAATGATGCACAATTGCTTTGGTATCACACAATCTTATCCCTCACTGACAGGGATCTTTCAGGTAACTTTGTAACACTTGTTTAACTCAAGGTCATATATGTTCACTGTTTCTTTCCAGTTTATCAGGACATACAGCCCTTCCTATAACTTGTCTTCAATTAAACTTTCATTTACTTTTTCCTATACACTCAGCTTTCCTTCTGTTTCTCTGTCTCCCTGAACTACCTCAGCTGTCAGCTTATAAGTGCTTCCACAAGAACTGCTTGTCTAACTAACTAACTGAACATCAACTGTCAACATTTAACTGAAACTAATGACTGACTCACATACTCATCCAATCAGATTCACTTCCAAAACCCCTCCCCCTCTCTGTCAACCACCAATCATACCATACTTGCCTCTCTCAACCACTCTAGTCTATCTATCACAGCCATGTAACCAAACTTTTAAAGAGACACACACACACAGAAACAAGGAATCGTTACAGTGGGGGTGGGGCAAATGTGGTGCAATAGAAGAGAAAGAAAAAATGATGATACAGAGGTAATCAGCAGCACCTGGGAGAGGAAAAGTGCATCATCCTACTTGACTAAGAGGTCAGGCAACCATCGTTAAAGGTATACCAGAATCTAGACTAGGAAAACAAGCTGAAAAAATTAGCTGCCCTATGCTGAAGAACTGCAATAAATCGTTTTGCTCAGTGTACTGACCTTATTGGAATACAATTCAAACATTTTGGTTTACATTTCTTTGTTTACTGGAAGGTTGGAATAAACAGCGGGCTGGTTTCTCATACCTCAAGATTGCCTGGATTTTCAGAACTCACATACTAAAAAAGATGCAATTTTTAAACAGATTATCATTTTCCAAACTTCAGAATGTGTGTGTGTATGTATTCAAGCATTCTCAAAAACAAAAGATTTTCTCATTCCTCCTTTCTGCCTTTGGAGATGCCCGCATGAAGCTGCTAGCTGACCATGTTGATCCACTCTTCCTTGATTTCTGTAGTGAAAATATGATCTGGAGATAAGCACTGGGCTGAGAGAACCTCAGGATCCCCCACATGCTCTTCCTCCTCCCTGGGTGGCTCTGACTTAGGGTGGCAGGCCTAAAAATCCTTGATGCATTGTATCTAGGAAGAGGCAGCTCCGCCTGAGTGCAAAAACAATATGACAGTCGGCTCGTATGGAGAGGGAGCTCATCACTGGATATGCCCATCCTAATGATCCAATTCATCAAGTCAGGTTCATTGTACCTGGTCCTGTTAGAGCATATGACTCATAAAAGGCTGTTATGAGGCTCTTCCTTGCCACCTTACTGAGCCAAAGGAGGCTAGCCTTGCCTAGGCCATTACTGTGTTCCTTGTTGCTTTTGGAGGCATAAGATGAGTGGATTAAGGACAATGAAGGAGGTATACAAAGACAGAAAACAGTTTATGAACTCTAGAGAGAAGATTCCTTAAAGCTCTGGAGGCAGGAAGATAAACTGAAGATATGTTGGTACTCCTTCCCCAAGATCAGCCTGCTTCCTGCCTCTGGGAACTGTAGGTAGGAGAGTACCCTAAATGTTCCAAAATATCTTCCTCTTCTCAAGTGAAAAAAACTGTTTTCCCTGAGAAGTTCCCAAACACTCCTATAACAGTGATAGAATGAACAAACTGAGCAGGATGCTTTGACTTCTTGCCTTTGGGCATGCATGTCCCAAGGCTGCATCTTTAAGCATGCATGGTCTGAGGCTGTATCTTTGAGAAAAGAAAATTTTGCCACCTAAAACATAGCTCTAGAAGTTTCCAAATGGAAGCTCCGTGCAGGCAGAAAGCGCATCAACATGCTGCACAAAGTATTAACATGATGTGCTGATCTACCAGAATAAGAACACTCATCTGTAGAACAGATTTACTTAATTATGGCCCCGGTCACATGGGCCGAAAAAACGTGGGGGGGAGCGTGGCTGTTTGCCCCGGAGCAAAGTAAAGCGCGGCAGCCCAATCACATGTCCCGTTGAGTTTCCGTGGTTAGGCCATTAGATGCCGAACACATGGCTATCCTGAAGCACGGCAAAGAAGTGGCTCGGCGTGGTCATACTGGCAATTGCTAGGTGCCACTTCCATGACAAACGGGAATTTCTCCCCCCACTGACGTCTGTGCATGCGCCGTTGGGCGTTTGTGCGCATCCTGTGGAGACTAAACACAACCGGTTTGCGACGGAACATGGACGGGCGCCGGATGCCACGGGATTCAAGTGGAAACATGATCAGACACTCGCTCCTGCCCCGCGGTTTCCAGAAACTAGTGCGCTTTCTGCAGTAGTTTTTTACTCCGCATCTTTGGCGGGAAGCCATGGGTTAGCCACGGGTGCACTACACTTCCCAGATGTTGCGGTGTGATCACGCACCGAAAATCCACCTGTCATTCGTGTCTTTAGCGCGGCAACTTCTCTGTGTGAACGGGGCCTTTATTAGTTTAAAAATTAAACCCATGCCATGTTAGTGTAGTTAACTGATGCTGAAATTGGTATAGTGCTGGTTTGCAGACTACACAATTTTCATACTTGGCAGACTGTTCACCTGCTACCAAATCAGAAGCTAATCTTGTGATCAGATAACAGCGGTTTATCCACTGCCAAAAAACCCTTTCTACAAACCTAGTGGTGAACTATTGTACTATATAGTGGAAAAATACACTATTGTTGGAGATAACACAAAAATGCAAACAATATCTGAAAGTGTCACACAGAACTCATACCAAAGTATCAGAAAAAGGAAGTTTTAATGCTGCTAATTTGAACAATAGTGCAAATAATAACAAATAGTCATAAAATGATTAAAGCCAGGCTGAAAGCCGGTTTTTACCTGAGTAAAAGATCACCTTTTATGAAAGGCACAATGGACTAAGGGAAAAGAAAGAGGTTGCCAATTACAGAGTTAATATGGAATCTCTTACTCTACACATTGTTGTACCTTGTGTTCTAGAATAAACAGTGGTCAACCTTCCAAATGGTGCAAACAGGGCCAACACAGGTTCTCGGACACTTTTTAAAGTATAAATATTGCTGTGGGCTATATCATGCTGATTTCAGCTCTGACAGTAATCAAAATAAACAGAGCCAATAGCAGGGGAGCACACAGGTGCCAAGGCATCCGCCAACACTTTTCCTGGAGCTCCCCAAGTGTTGTTAGAAAGTGGGTGGGATCAGTTCTGGCACTTGCGTGACAGGGCTTTTGATTGATCAGTGGAGATCCAATTGGCCAGACAGATTAAAATAACATTGTTTCAGTAGCAGCTGCCACCACAATGTTGATTTTATTCTCTCTCACTCCTCTTTTCCAGTGTATTTTTAAAACTGCCTCTTTTTACCCTGCATTGATACTTTCTTAGTGTGTATGGTTCTGCCTCTTGCAGCACTGCTTTTGTGGCTGGCTCCATCTCTTGTGGCAGCCATTTTGCGGTTGTGCCCACCACCCTGTGTCAGAATTGCCAAGGTGCTATGGGCTCAAAAAGGTTAAAGAGCCCTGGCCTATAGGATAATCATTATGTGGTTTTTAACAATACAGTTCCAAACATAATACTGTTCTTACCTCCCGTAAACTAATCTTGACAGGATAGATAATGTTTGACCCATCCCTCTTGAAGTGTGGATGAGGTTTATCTTTAATCACAAACACAATGTCTGCTGGGATACTGTTGGGTGTTTCATCACCTTCTCTGGGGAATGTAATTTTAGTACCCTCCTTCCATCCTTTCTTGATATCAATGGTAAGGATTTTATCCTCTGTTCTGACACTTCTTCCATCTGGATTGAGCCTTTTTCTGGAAATCCTCATTCTTTTGGTGCAACTGTGATAAATCTCTTCCAACGATACCTTCAGTTCATGGATAACAGGAGGGTCTTGCTTACGACGGGGCTGGCTACCAACAGTGTTTCTTTCTCTGGGAAACCCATTCATATTAAAAGCAGTAAAGGAACCAAATGGATCTCCATCTACTTCCATGTCTTCAGTGTCCCTGCCACCAGGCATCCTTCTCCCAAAGAAGATTTCAAACGGATTTGCACCACCAAAAAAGGCTGCAAATGTAGCATGTGGGTCTCCATGGAAAGAGTACCGGAATGTGCCACCTTGTCCATCAGGCCCTCCAGCTCCTCCTTTTAATCCTACAAAGGGACAAACACATTTAACAAAACTTATATTAATTTCAAATTCCTGCACTTATTGAAAATGATGGCATAGGCTAAGTTCAATGCAAGAATCATTGACTAGTACTTAATAAGTTTAAGTCTGTTTAACAGAACTTACTTCCAAGTAATCACATGAAGGATGGCAGCCAAGGTTGTATAAAAATGCTCAAGTACTGCAGAACAAGCCTCAGAGAGATATTATGAAAGTATATTATCACACCCATGCTGACAGTTACCTCAACTATTTCAAGCCTGCCATTTCTTCCAACATGATGACACCCACCTACTCCCTGTGATTAATTTCACCCACACATTTTTCCTAAATTTAAACAGTTTCTCAGCTTTCTGCTCCATCTTCAGAACACCTCACCAGACCTTGCTTAAGGGTTGAAGGCATATTAACCCTTTAGTCTTCACTTTTAAACTCCATCTGCTTCTTAGCAACAAGCATCTTTAAAAAGTTAGCTGTCATGTATGTTTTATGAACATTTATAAATAAACCACTAAGAAGGTTAAGCCTAGCTGTTCTTTTGAACCCGTTTACTTTTCTGGATTACAACTTTACTTATTGACATTTAAGCATGTTTGTGTTCATTCTAATTTTTATGTACCACAGTGTTTTTATTTATTGCATTTAAATATATGGGGATATTTACATTATAGACTTTAACAGTCATTTCCTCTCCCCAAGAAACCTGTGAAGAGAATTAAAGTTCTTTAAAATGAAACCTTCTATACTCTCACCAAATTACATTTCCCAGAAATTTTTTGACAAAGTCATGATCTTGAAGAAGTCATGTGGCAGCTCCAATTTATTGGAATGAGCTCCCGGACAAGATTAGGGCCCTGTGGGACCTTTCACAGTTCTGCAGGGCCATGAAAACAGAGCTCTTCTGCCAGGCTTTTAAGTAAGGAGCTGCACTTTATCATCTATGCCCTGCACCAATTTTATTGCCAGCCTGAGCCCGCTGAGAGTGGATGTGCCGCTGAATGTATGTTTCTATATGCACTTTACCACACTGTATCACCATTGTGATGTTAATGGTTTTAATACTCTATTATATGTTTTTATATTGATACTTATATTGCTGTTTTAGCCATTGTTCTCTCATGTTAGCCACCCTGAGCCTGCCTTGGTGGGGAGGGCGGGGTAAAAATCAAATAAATAAATCTCTGCAACTGATAGGAAAATCAATATAAATGTATACTGTTGAAGCATCTTTAGAGTTCTACCAGTGTTCCTCTTGGTGTATAGCACATGCACTACTGCACACAGGATGAGGCTGAGATTTTCTGTATTTTAAATGCTATACCTGTCTGTGAGCTAGTCTCCAACTGATAAAGGTTAATTGATTTGCACTGTCCTACTACAATTCAGTAATAACTGATGGTTCAATCAAACCAAATCCTTTACAATACAAACTAGATTTGCATTACCTCTTGAACGATGAAAGACATTTGAGAAAACTTTATTGTGACCAGTAACCTCCTATTCTACATAAGTCCTTAGAGAAACAGTGCAAAACAGCCATACCAAGCTATAAAAAATCCACATACTATAATAGCTTGTTTTCAAAAGCTAGTCAGAATAATCCAAAATGCCAATCATTTTAATTTTCTAGAAAAAGAATTGGGTGTGATTAATGGATTTTCAACCCCAGTTATGTGAACCTGGTAGAAGAGCTGGATTTCCCAACAATTGGGCATAAAGTCTTCCAAACTGGGGGGGGGGATGTATGCTTGATTTTTGCACACGTTTTCCATAGAATAGGATTTAGCATTAGAGAATACAAATGTGCAGTAAGATTTTATGATAGGTTTTTAAAATCCCAACTTTCCAAATTTGTGTTGACACCAAAACAAGAACTGAATCCCCTATCCCAACTCAAGAAAAATATTCCCAATATTAATGAAAGCATTCTATTAAATGATGCTTCAAAATTAATTTTAATATTTGCTATGATAAGCATGATGATATCTACATGCATGCATACAGATGTAGGACTACGTAATGGGTAATATCAAGCCAGCTGACAAAATACACCATGTCCTCAGTGGAATGACACTTCCTAGAATAGATAATGGATAGGTTTTACTGAAAGGACATCAGGTTCCATGGTTATAAAAAAAGAACTTTAGGTCCACTATCCATGCTCTGGTCAGCAGCAACAGAATTGTTATGACTACTAAGAATAAACGATCAAAAGCAGATTCAAAGATCAATGTTTTGTAGATATTGTCACTAATTTACCAATATCATTACTTAAGTTACAAGTATCATGTTTAATTAATTTATTTATTTATTATTAGTTACATTTATACCCTGCCCTCCCCGTGAGCAGGCTCAGGGCGGCTTACAAGTCGATACAGTGTACCTAGTCTATATAAACATGTAAAACATTTTAAAACAGGTTAAAATAATTAAACACCAATGTTTAAAGACTACTGTTACCTGCTTCTATTCCTTTTACCATAATTTTTGATAGCTAGGATACAAAATCAAATTCCCTGTGTTCCATTGGGAAAAAATGACCGTATGAGCAAAAAAGGGGGGGGAAGTACAAGCATATGAATCAGGAAATAAGACTTTAGAATCCAAATGTAGAGGTAAGAGTCCTAAAGAAGATATAAGCACCCAAAGAACATCGAAACTTGATTTTTAGAAAAAAGTATACACATCAGTTTTATATATTTCTCAAAGATGTAATAGAGATAGCAAATTCGGAAGCTGAAGAATCATCACTTTAAAGTGGAACTAGTACTAATATAATTTTAGTTTGTGAGAAATGCATAATTTACAGTGCAATCCAAAAAAGAATTACATGCTTCTAATCCCATTGATTTAAACGGATTTAGAAGGGTGTAAATCTGTTAAGGGTTGCACTTGTCAGTGTCCTTAAGTGTGAACGTTTATATGATTTAAATAGCCATTTATGTCTTCAGCAGATCCTTTAAACAGTAACAGGCCTATCCCACTGAGAGAATATATTACTGCACACAAATAATCTTGTGACTGCAATAAAGCAAATATGTCAGCAGCTCAGCTAGTTCAGAATCCTGAACATCCAAAGACCAAGAATATTTCATATACTGAGTTCTAAAACTACTGAGAAATTCTCTGAATCAGCAGCAGCATCTGATTTTAAGTAACTGTTTTAGGCAAAGTGTGCTGTTCTGTATGTCATTTCCTTGGCACATTAGCACTGTTTACAATTAAGCCGAAAACTTGTCCCGGTATTTTAAGACATCATGCAAATTCTTTCCTTTCAAGGCAAGAAGCCAACCTTAGCTGAAGAATGGACAACTGGACTCTAGCTGAGAAGAACCATCTTTTAACACAACGTTATTTTAAACACCATGATGTCCACATGACTCTCGGTGTTGCCCAAATGAGTATGTCAAAATTAATCCATTTAGCAACTAACACTGCACTCCTTATACTCAAAAGTATATCCCACCATTTACATTCAGAAGTATATTCCCACTGAGTTCAATAGTACTTACTAGTATGTGTGCTGAGAACTTCAATACAAGTCACAGACCAAAAAACCCAACACACACTATTGCAAAAGCACTTGTAACAAACTGATCAGGTACAGTAATGTATTTTAAGGTGAATATAATGATGGCCTCAAAGGGTCACCTCAAGTTTTCATACTTACTTAACTGCTTTTGACATCAGCAAGTTACTATCTAAAACTAAATACAAGAACAGAAAATGCTCTTACCTTCTTCTCCAAACTGATCATAAATCTCTCTCTTTTTGGGATCACTCAGTACTTCGTAGGCTTCTGCAATCTCTTTGAATTTTTCCTCTGCATGGGGAGATTTATTTTTATCTGGATGCCATTTAAGAGCTTGCTTTCGATAAGCTTTCTTGATGTCTTCATCAGATGCCCCCTTCTCAATTCCAAGAACGGAATAATAATCCTTCCCCATTTTGAATGTTTAAAAGTGTTTTAAGTGTCTGTTCCCTTCTCCTGTGTGCTGAAAAAGTGTTAACATAAGTCAAAAGCTGTACTTACACTATGCAATAAGCAGAGAGTTTGTCACTTCCTCCCCTTACACAGTAGCTTCATACAGTTAAATATATACAGTGGTAAGAGACACTGCCACCCAGAGCCCTCCTAGTCACACTACGTGTCTCTGCTCTTTCTAGAACAGCAAATGCTTGGAGACGTCACTTCCCAAGTTAACTACAGCCAAAACTTTGCAGTGCTTTCTCTCTGTACAGTTAACTGTTCAATATCCATACTTCTTTAGGACTAAACAGAGCGAGAGATAGATTAGTTAGAAATGATGATATGGTATTAGGGAGTGCAAAATTGTGGAGACTTAGGAAAGCCAGATTTAGATTTGCAGAAAGGGGAAATTTAGATGAAGTATTTTAAATGGGAAAATGAAGCTATGGTTTTTGATTTAAGGAATTATGATTTCTTTACTTATTTGATAGTATAAAAGCAGGAAATAAGATGCAGATCTTCTGAGTTGAAGATGAGATTATTCCTACTGAGCTACAACTAATTGGAAATAGTGCTCAACTTGGGAAAACTTGTAAAAAAATGGCATTATGGTCCTGAAAGCAGTGAAAAACAATGTTCATGAAACTGATTGGACTATAAAATATAGTTAATAATTATGGTGGTGGAAAAAACAGATACTTAGTTAAGTTTTGGGATGACTATAATGTATAGTTAAGCCTTGTGATTTGACTATAAAGTACAGTTAACAGCTATGGTGGTGGTAAAAACGGATGTTTGGTTAAGTTTGTGACAACAAGCAACAGTAAATATACAATATTTAAAAGGAAATTACAGCTTGATAGGAATTTTTGTCAATATAAGGCCCCAGTCACACGGTCCGGATATCACCGGGGGGGAGGCGTGGCAAATTCCCCTGGCGCAGTTTGATCTGCGATTATACGATCAGACACGCCAGCAGCACACCACGGGTCCTTCCCTCGGAGCCAGTGCGGAAACGAGGGGCCGGAGGGGAAAGCCACGTGCCAGCGCGATCACACCACAGGCATCCAGAGGCATCCCGTGGCAAACCGTTTGCCAGTACTTTTGAGGTGCTACTTTTTTATCGCGCGTTTTCAGCAGTAAGCCACGGGTTGGCCACGGGTGCACTCCACTTCCCAGATGTTGGGGTGTGATTGCGAACGGATAATCCGCCCACCACCCGTGACAAATTCGCCGTGTGAACAGGGCCTAAGTTTACTTGGAAAAGGTATATACAATTATTGAGTGATAAATAAAGTTGAAATTAGCAGGAAAGATGTAGAACATCAAACTGAAGAGTTTAGAAAGAGGATAAACAGCATATTAATAAATGTTTAAGAGGTTTTGAGACCTTATTTAGAGAAATAAATAGCTATTACGACTTGGAAAAAATATAGCTAAGTAGAGTTTAAAAGTTGGTTGCTATGCTATGAAAGTGTGTACTTAATGGCGAAATGTCTTGTTTTATATTCTTAAGAACCAGTCTACTGTATACAGATAGTATTGTTTAGGGTCGTTTATGTTTGTACATGTTTTTGTTGTTGTTTATGTTATGTGTGTCTATCATTTATAAAACCCCAATAAATATATTATGCAAAAAATATCCATACTTCTTTGAAGATGAATTAACTCATAATCTAGTAAGACTTTTAAAACTATTACTTCTTCTATAGCTATCTATAATATGAAAACAGGCTGATTTTAGACTATATGATGAAAAATGGACATTCAGATTTCTAGAAAAAACTAATGGCCAATCACATGTGTGAATGAGAGGTGGAGGAAAGTAACATTACAGCATCTACAAGATGTTAACTTGCATATTATTCATAGAGCACGGACCATTCTTACTCTTTATTTTGCATACCATGTTAGGTTTCTTGACAGCTGGGCTATTTAAAAACTCTAGTACTTCAGCAATGATTTCACAGCAATACATAACAACCACCTCTGCAGCAGCCGCCACTGCTCATGCTTACTTCGAATGCTAATTTCTAGGCAGTGGTGCCACATGCTAAAGTGGTCATGTGCAGACACTGATGGGACATGGGTTGGATCCAATGACTCCCTTCTTTTGATGGAGAAGTAGAATTGACTTTAAGGACACAGCTGAATTGCTCAAAAGCCATGGCACCAAATTATATACAAGCAGTCAAATGTGACCAAAAGAGGGGAGAAAAACACAACCATACATGAGAAAGGTAACTAAAAAGGTTGAGACAAAGAAAAAGAAACTAAAATATAGCTACACATGCTAATGTACATAATATCATATATAATTTAATTATAAATTCAGAAGTGCTAAAATATCATTTAAAAACCACAGTCCCATTGTTTTGCATATGAGTACCTAATCCTAATATAAACACAAATCATATAAATACATGCTAAAAGGTACGATTTATATCCTATACAAGATCCAATACTAAACATGTTTCGGCTGAAAACCTTCCTTCTCAGTGGTAAAATTCAAACTGGGCACTCCATAAATTAAACAAAGATATACATAAAACTAATCATACACAGAATGGACCTAAAATGAAAGGAGAGGTAAGTATGTCTGTTACAAAAAGTAAATAAAATTTAAATATTTTGAAATATATGGAACTGGGATAACTACCTTACTCACACTGAGATGTTCACCCGTGGAGTAAGTGGTGATAAATATTCTTGAGACGTAACATGGGCAACTCATCAAGATGCGCAATATTTCATATGCCCATGGATCTAAAATACACATAAAACATATGACTAAACAACTGCAAATTAAAAAGTCTCCTACATTTTTGAAAAACAGTATGTAGCTAACAGAGGCGGGGGGGGGGGGGCTAAATAGTGCAATATTAGACCCAATCGGCAATGCTCAAAGCTCCAATGGAGTGCTCAGGTACAAATAGAAAAGGATCAGCACTGTGGTAATCCAGCCCCCTGAACATATGGAAAAGGTGGGGGTGGGGAAAATGTGATGCAACAGAAAAGAGAGGAAAAAATGATGATACAGAGGTAGTCAGCAGCACCTGGGAGAGGACTAAGTGGTCAGGCAACCATCCTTGAAAGTATACCAGAATCCAGACTAGGAAAACAAGCTGAAAAAATAAGCTGCCCCATGTTGAAGAACTACATAAATTGTTTTGCTCAGTGTACTGACGTTATTGGAGTACAATTCAAACATTTTGGTTTACATTTCTTTAACTGGAAGATTGGAATAAACAGTGGGCTACTTTCTCATACCGCCAAGATTGCCTGGACTTTCAGAACTCACATAGTAAAGGAGATACAGTTCTTAAACAGAGGATCCTTTTCCAAACTTCAGAATGTGTGTGTGTGTGTTTTTGCATGTGTGTGTGCATGTGTGTACTCAAGCATTCACAAAAACAAAAGATTTTCTCAGTCCTCCATTCTGCCTTAGAAACTTCAGAGGAACAGACTGGATACTGACTGCAACATATTCTTGTTAAAAGCAACCACTATCAGGTGGGGATAGAAATATTGGATTAGGGTCATGATGCTCAAGGGGTTAATCAAAGCTGTTTTCATAAGAGATCTCCCCCACTCATGTATGCACCCAAGCAGCTATTATTCCTAGTAGGGGAAAAACATTAGGTTGCAGTTTGCCTGCTTTTTCCATACCAAGACAAACAGATGGTTGAGTGGAGGAAGATTAATCTTAGATGAATGGTACTGTCCAAATCTCCACCCTAGCTGTTTTCCCAAAAAATTTAAAAACCTCAGATCTAATCATAGATCTCTAGGACCTCATCTAATTGAGCTCTGCTCTGAATAGACTTGTCATTGGAACCCTGACTGGTATTTCTTTCCATCAACGTTAGCGATTCCTAAAAGATCCTTGGGACCTCACCCTCAACAGCTGTTCTGCAACAAAAGAGGCAGCTAACTCATTCACTCTTGTAGAACAGTGGTTTCCAACCTTTTTGGTACAGTGAACCATCCAGAGCTGGTTGTTTGGAACTCTAGGCAAACTATGGCTTTGGCTCCCATCTTCTTCAGCATTCCATTGTTCACAGTAGCTAACCAGATGTTTCCGAGAAACCAACAAATACTGCACAAAGGATGTGGCTGCCTCCACTATGAACCACAAAGCAAATGGCATTCTGACTAGTGGAATCTAGTGAGGACTAGCAGCACAGATGGTGTTACAAGTGGATTAGATAGATTAATGAAGAATAGCTACAACAGCTACTAGTCATGGTGAGTAAAGTGAACCTCCATGTTTAGATACAGTAAGCCTCTGAACCCCAGTTCTTACAGGCAACATCAAGGAAAGGCCTTTACCTCTAAGCTCTGCTTGTTGGCCCTCCAGGGCAACTGGTTGGTCAACATGTGAAGCAGGATGCTGAACTAAATGGACCACAGGCCTGATCCACCAGGATCCAGGCGACCCAAGGTTTGAATCTCCGCTCTGCTAGATGACGTTGGACTAGTTACACATTCTCAGCTTAGCCTACCCTCTTTGTTGTGAAGAATAAAACGGAGAAGATGAGACCAATGTATGTTATTTTGGGTCCTCATGAAGGGGCAAAGACAGTATATAAATGAAGTAAATATAATAT